TCTGCACTCCTAACAAACTACACTTTTCTTGATTATTTGCGGAAAGCCATGACTGGTTAAAGCAGAGGAACACTGCTTTAAATGTGTAGTGCAGATGAGGCATCTCTACTTAATTGGCTGAAGGTACTCCCTGCCCCCATTTTGCATATACCATCATTCTAATCAGTAATAATAATGATAATTTTACAGTGGTACCTCGGGTTAAGAACTTAATTCGTTCCAGAGGTCCATTCTTAACCTGAAACTGTTCTTAACCTGAAGCACCACTAATAGGGCCTCCCGCTGCCGCCGCGCCGCCGGAGCACGATTTCTGTTCTCATCCTGAAGCAAAGTTCTTAACCTGAGGTAATATTTCTGGGTTAGCGGAGTCTGTAACCTGAAGCGTATGTAATCTGAAGTGTATGTAACCTGAGGTACCACTGTATTATCTATATCCTGCTCATCTGACTAGGTTTGCCCAACCACTCTGGGCGGCTTCCAGCTGAATATAAAAACGTAACAAAATGTCAAACGTTAAAAACTTTCTGATACAGGGCTGCCTTTAGAAGTCTTCTAAAATGTGTATAGTTCTTATTCTCCTTGACATTTGATGGGAGGACGTTCAACAAGGCCAAAAACCATCTAGAAAAATTGAACTAAAAGCCAAGATGGAAGGGCAGGGGTGAGGAAGAGCTAAACTTCCAGTTCACCACTAATATAATGAGGACAAGCCACGTGATGCAATTGTGTTGCCAGACACGAAATGAACTGTGACAAAATTGATTGAGGAGATATTACAGGGGCCGACTATAAATCTGAAATTCAAGGGATCTGAAAAAATGTCAAGACTGAAACTGTGGCAGGATTAATAATTTTGGCACTAAAATGAGGCAGCAAAATGTGACATTTAAATATTAATGTTGCTTCCGGATGGAGCTGGTAATCAGGCAGGGATATGCCACAAAATATTTAGGAATCTCTTGGGTTCAACATATAAGCAGAGGGACAGTTTTTCCAATCTGTTCCTTGTAGCAGGAAACAAATCATTTGACAAGAAATGTTATGCTCTGTTCCATAGATGTAAATCCCATTAGTTTCGACATATGTTATGTGCACATAACTGAACGTGGGATCACAGCCTATGCTCCCGATTATTACGGAGGGAATCTGGTTCTCCTGTTTGCAGCAGCAGCCTTGAACAATCGTGTGGGTTTATCTGCTCCTCATGGGGACGGTGTGTTAATTCTGCTTACATAAGGGTTAATTTGATTAGGAGAAGGATTTAGTGATGCAAGAGCCGTCTTTTCTTATTTTTCTCCCACGAGAAAGAGATTATGCGCAACTCCTGCTTGCGACGTTAAAAAGCGCAGCGATTTCACCCTCTGCATTCTTAACCACACAGTGGCAGCCTTCTCCATTCAGGATTCCTGTGTCTGGCACAGTACCTGTTTAGCAAGTCTCAGATTGTGGCACAACAGCTTTCAAAAAATAAAGAGGTCGCTGATTCAAGCCCTTGCTCAACACTCTCCTTTTGATCCTAAGCTGCCTTAAGGCAGCATTTTGCCAGAGAGATTCAAGGATATACAGGCAATGTAAGTTTGCGCAATTAAGGGAGATTAAAGTGCTCTGTCAACGCTGGCCTGGTGCAACAAATCCCTACCCCCTTCTGAAAATAAGAACTGTGCTCTTTTGATGCTGCTATGTGGGGAAATGAACTGAAAAGTGTGGGTTGAATATTATGAATATTATAATAGCGAATATTAATGGGAAGACGTACAACTACCAAACAAGCAAATCAGACATAGTCTAACCTCCGCATGAGCTTTGTGGAAGTACATCAGGATGAAGGCTCAATAAAAAAAAGTTGTTTGGGAGGAGCCCATATACTGGACATGGCATCCTCTCTTTTTTTCTTTCCCTTGAGACGTCTTCATCTTTGGTAATCAGATTCTCTCACTCATATTACATTAGCCAAAAGTTTCTTCCATTTGATCAAATGCTAGGAAGTCCCAGTAATGCTTGCCATTGCCGTGTAAAGGTCATTGTGCTTAACAGTCTTTACTGGAATGGCATTTTTTAAAAAAGACATCCATTATTCTAAAATGTTTTAGCTGAATTGGGAGGGGGGGTGAGAAAAAGGATATGGATTTCTTTCCTGACTATTCTGTTTCATTTCCTGCTCGAGCTTTTGGTTTATTTGCATTTTATTTGCTTTGGCTATCACTACTCAGTACCTTGCTTGACCTTGCATATCAAACACAGAGGTGGGATGGGGTAAAGGAGAAACATGCTGCCCTCTCACGTGCTAGAATACTAATCTGGAGTTGGGATGAGGGGGGATTCAATTCCCTTTGCATTTAAAGGCAAACTTAGAAAATTGCACTTTCTGAAACAATACTTGAACCAAAACACACCAATTGTTCAAAATTCACACTTTTCTAAATTTTGCAATGCAAAATTCTTCAGCCAAGTAGTGGCTTTTTTTTTTTTTGCAGATATTAGGGGTAAGTGTGGAAATAAATGAATATATTAGTGATATAAATAAATGAATATATTAGTGAAAATGGCATACGAAATGCATTCTATTAGGGACAATTCCTTGCAAAAATGTATATATTTTGGGTGTGGGTCCTGGCCTGGGAGGCTAGGGCCCTGATGGACTCTAGATACAAAAGCTGAGGTTGCTGAAGAGGCCAGAGACAATTTTGGCTCTCTTTTAGTGCTGATGCAGGTCATCAAGCCTGAGCTTCCACATCTACCACCCACTATGAACCACCATTGGCATAATTGACAGGAAAAGCAGCATATAAGTTCTGTGCTTAAGATAATACAAAAATGTGTTTATTAAGGGAAACCCACACTAAAATGCTGATAAATTTCCATAAGGAATATCTATCTATCTATCTATCTATCTATCTATCTATCTATCTATCAGAAATGAGGATAACTGATTTTAACATGGGTGAAAAAGAGAAGCTGAGAGAACAAAAAATGGACAGATTTGTTCACCCTTATTTGGAGCATCACATAAAAAATGGGGGGTAGAGAAGAGTCTAATAAATGAATAAGGTTCAGATAGATTCATGAGTGGGAATCCTGGGAAGTGCTGTTTGCTAAAGGTGCTGAGAGTTGTTAGGAGACCCTTATTCCCCTCACAGAGTTACAATTCCCAGAATTCCCTGGGAAGAGGGATTGACTGTTAACGCACTTTGAGGATTGTAACTAATAACACAAAGACTTCCCCCAATAAATGTCAACATTCCACAAATTAAAATTATCAAAATATTATGCCTTATTGTCTTATCTTATATTTTCTATATAGTGTATCGACATTTTGCCTCTCAGATTTGGGAGACTGTTATCACTTACCATGACTGAATGTTTTCCTGAAGTATTTTTTTTTTGTCTTGAACCACAAGTTTCATCGGTCTGCTTGTGCAGCTGTAGTCCTGTTTATTCCAAATATCCAGTGTTTGTTTCATTACTGAAATTCTGTCTTTATCAACTGTGCGCCACAACCAGTCCTGCCTTCCCTCTCCATTGTTTGCCAGATGACACCCCTGTAAACCAGCGTTCCAGATCCTGCTTCTCAGGGTCATTTTTCCTGCTCATATAGTGCGCATAACTCTACCTTTTCCCCCCTAAAGGAAAAGAACCTGGTAGACTCAAGATTGCCCAGAGCTGTCCCTATAGGTACACATTGTAATTATCACATGCAGACTGATTCCAGTGGCCTTCACATAATGGATTACCTGTTGCAAGACCATCGCTCTGTATTTGTCTCTTCCAGCTGAAAGGCCTTTAACACAACACCATCCATTACTATTGATACATGCAGCGGCTTCTATACAATCCCCGCCTGACTTTATAAATGATGGGGGAGCGCTCCAACTCTGCTGAACTGCTGTCATCAAACATACAGCCAAGCAGCCCTGTCAAAAGCATTGTCAGCATAAATGAGCAAGGCTACAGATGGATTGCTAAACAGCTCGGCTTGGTTGCATTAAGGGAAAGGTGTTGGAGGTGTGATCTGCCTCAAGGCTTGCCTTCACAAACTTGACCTGCTTTCATGATGAAGGGTAGGGACAATCTCCCTGAAATTGAATCATGTTGCAAAAGCTGTGGCAGGGATCTTGTGCCTCTTGTGTGCAGGAGGAAAATAGGCTTAAAGAAACCAACTCGCCTTTCCGCAGCATTTTGATCTAAGTGAATGAAATCACATGCCACGAATCAAGTCCATGAATACCATTTCCAAATTTCACAGGAGAAATGACTTTTTAACATAACCCCCGTTGTCCATGTTTACATTGGAACATTTTATTTTTTGGAATGACGCGAAAAACACATTTTAAGTCCTGTCCAAAGCAAGAGGTCATCAGCATGCAATGCCTTGTGTCGTGACTAATCTTTAGATTCCCAAAAGGGTCTAGCAGAGGCACTACAGTTATAAAAGCAGGCTTGTGTTCTCAGGATCACTGAATACTGCTTTATTTTTGCTTTATTTTGTTGAAGCCATATCTATTTTGTTTTAAAAAGGAAATAAATATTTATTTACTAGGAATGTCAACAAGTCAGGCAGAATTTTTGGAGAGAGGAAATTGGATTATTCAGCTCTATCCTTTTCCTATCAGATTTAATAAATTAAGGAGATACCTATGAGACAGATCATGAAATCTCATTCCTCTTTGATTCTATCTCTGTATTCCTTAGAATACAGAGCATTAGCATAGATGCTTCAATATCGGCTTCAATTTGGTTGCTGTTTTCTAGTAATAGGTTGAGTCTTCACTCCGGAAGCTTTCTCTGAGAGACCTTGATAGCTGCTGATAGCAGGACATTCACTTTGCTGTTCACATTTTGTTGGAGCAATACAGTTTTCTGTGAGAGTACGCTGCTGCTGACTGAGTAGCCATTGGTTTGTGAGGTTGTTTTTCCCCCTCCTTCCTTCTTAAGGTCAATTCTGTCAGGTGTACTTGTACTGTTTTGTTGCCTCCAAGGAGCTGACTTCCCCTTAACATTTCCCTTTTCAGCTGATAACAAGACTCTGGGCAAATGTAAAGCATAGCTGGCATTTTCCAGAGTGAACAGCTCCTGCCCTGTTGAATTTCTGCCTATTCTGAAGCCCTGAATAGAAAAAGTTCTGCCAGAGAAAGGAAGGGGAAAGGCTGCAGCCCAGTGACAGAGCACTTGAAACAAAAATTGTTTGAGAGAAAACAAAGGCTTGGCATCTGTTGTCAGACTCCATCTCCCATCAGCCCAAGCAAGCACGACAAATGGTCAGGAATGGTAAGTTTTATCATCCAACAGCATCGTTTGCTACTTTGGGGATCATAGGCACCTTGTCCTGAATTCTTCCAGTATGTTCTGCCTCCTGAGTCAATGTTTTTCACCTGTTTCCCATTAGTTGACCTTGGGATTATAGTAACAAAAGAAGAAGCAGATATAAATAAAGTCGATTGCACAAGCCTAGCATCTGCCAACACTTGAAGCAGAGGGCAGCTGTCGCTCATTGTCATTTCTGCCATTGCTATTCACTTCCACAATCCCTTCTGGGCCAAACAATAAACATCAGGGAGAAGAAGCAGCAGGACTCAGATGCTCTCAGTGGTGGGATCTTTTCTGTGAGGTGGCACCTTGGCAGGTGCTCAGCCATTTTGACCTCTGGTGCCAGTTCCAGGCATTCTCTACACCTTTTGGGGAAAAAGAACCACACGGCACTACATAATTCTTGCTCAATCTCCGTGTTTCTCTTTGGAGACAAACATCACCCAGCTACAAAAGAATGGTTAGCATGGTTCTGTTAAAACGATTTGATAAATAGATGCATTAACTAAAAATTAACTATTAATTGACCAAGTGGGGAAAAAAGAATGCTTAAGATTAATGAAGGAATTTCATTTGAAATGCAAGCATTGTTGTGGTTTGGCTGATAATTCATTTCATTTCTTGTAACAGATGGCAATGGTAGCTTATAAGATAAGAGCACGGAAACAAGATGTTAATAAATATTGAACAAAAAATACAAGTAGTACTAAAGAGAATCATTGCTGATCCTTGCTTTGTAATAATGGAGGATCTTTCAGGAAATAAAAGATTTTAAACAGCTATAATTCTAATTCTTTGTGATTGTTCTCTGGCAATTTCATCAGTATAAAACCCATGTATACGCACTTACCTGGGATTCCCAGAGACTTGGGTAGCTTCCAGACACCCTCCTTATTAAGCATTTATTCTGACATGTTTGCAGAAAGTTTATGTGGAGGTAATAGGATGTCTGCTGCTTATAGAGCATTCGTTCTCATTTGTTTGCAGGGAAATTACATGATGTTCCGTCAAGCTAACGTTACAACACAATTTCCAGTGCATATTCCTGTCACCTTCCTTACAGCAGTTGATTTTTTTAAAAAAATTGGTTTGTTGCAAGAGCAACAAATCCACTTTAATTCTTCAACCTTAATTTGTTGGTATGTGATTTAATCATCCCTCAAAATAGCAACAGCCTAGATGTGGCCTTACTCCCTCTGCCCCAAGGTAGCTTTCAGATGATCACTAAATTGCAGGAGCAATTCAGTCACATACTTGGAAATGTAGATTCGCCTACTTTAAATGGATTTAATAAACTCCGGCAGTATTGTGCAACAAATGTCATTCAAAAAGCAAACAAAAATACTTTTTTCAGCAAGGAAAGTGATGGTAAAATGCCCTAGAAAGTGTGGGATAGCAACTGATTTGCAGGGAACCATATAACTTCTCTGCAAACAAATAAAGATGAATGCTCAGTAAACAGTGGACAGCATAGAGTGTCTTCATAAACTCTGTGCAAACAAGTCAGAATTACTTCTCAATAAAATAGGTCAACTGGAAGCAACCATAATAGTTCAGTTTGTGGGTTGGGTTTTTTCTTGCAATAAGAACTAGCAGCAATAAAAGGAAAATATGCCCTCCCAATCAATAATACATTTTTATTTTTTTGCAGTAAACCTTTTTGCAGAAAATGGGAAATAGTAATGCTTTTTAAAATAATAATAATAATAATAATAATAATAATAATAATAATAATACATTTTATCTATACCCCACCCTTCCCAGCCAAGACCGGGGTCAGGGCAGCTAACAACCGATAATAAAAACAAGTTGATTGAAATGCAACTTAAAAAACAAGATTAAAATAAAAAAATCTTCCAGGTTTCACTCCTGCCACCCATGTAAGCAAAAATACCTCATTTTTTTGTTTGGTTTTTGTTTACTTTTTATTTCTACTTTAGAACACATAGCAAGGATTTGGACCACATAGCTCTGGCACCAAAAGGTTAACAGGTTATGAAAATCACAGTACAGTTTTTAAAATTCTTCAGATAAGTCAATGATATTTAAAATGATAGCCACTTTTTTCTTTCTTTCTTTTTTTATAGTAAAGATATAAATTAGAGGTCTGTAAACGAGTCGTGTTTACCTACAGAGCTATCAACTCGCAGCTACAATGAGAGCAGCAATAGAAAGTCAATGCTAAACTGAGCTAGGTCAGGAAACAAGTTCTTAATCAACAGTGCGATACAGGGAAATACGATAGGTCAAATTACAGTTTTGGCACCTTATGCTGAATGTCATCAATAATAAAAAATATAGTAATAACCAGGCAAAAATGAAATGAAATGAAATAAGTGCACTGTCTTGGAACCAAGATAAAACCAGCCATTTCTCAGGTTGTTTCTACAAGTGGACACTATGAAATTAACCACACCCTACACAAGTTGGACCTCAAAAACTACAGTTCTAGGAAAGCAGGAATATTAAAATGCACACCCACAAGGATATTAAAGTATAAATCGTCCCCCTTGACACCCCCCCATGCCCTGTTAGTAGAAATAATTTACAATCCACAAAGGGACTTCTGGGCAAATCATTAACTACAGACATTAATGGAATGTAGCTTAGACTTGTTTCATATAGAAAGGCAGCGTTACCCTGAAAAAAGTTTGGTCCTCTTTAAACTCATTGCAGTGCAGCCATTACAGACAGTCCCATGGTAGATGCTTTAAAGTATTTCTTAAATACAGCTTAGAGACACTGGGGGGGGGGGTTGGAGAGAGGGAAAATGGCCCCATTTAGGTTTGCTTGGCAAGAGTCTGAAAGAACCAAGTAGCAAGAGGAGGAAATCAGGGCAAATCCTCGTTTGGTGATCCCACAGTATCTCGTTTTGTGCAATTGTTATCGAAACTTTCCTTTCTGTTTTTCTTCCTCTTCTAACCCCGCCCTTCATTTAGTACCACAGAAAACAAAACCCTCAGTCAATGACAGGAAAGACATTTCACTCTTTATTTACAAGAGAGTCACTTTGGCTAGAAGGTCCCAGCTCAGACAGAAACGTTTCTAATCTTTGTGTATATCCTCGTGGCGTATAATTTTGTACGTAATCCAGTAAAATATATTGAAGATGAGAAAGGCCAGCGGGAAGGCCGCTCGGGATATGGTGTCGATCCTTTTGGCACGGTCCACAAACCTCTTTTTGATGGAATCGGAATCCTTTGGCGGCGGGGGCGGGGGCAGGGGCGGGTTGGGAGGCGTGGCTTTGATGGCAGCGCCATCTTTCACCTGGAGGCAGTGACCCATCCCATAGCCGCCAAAGTTAAACCGGCTGTCGCGAGCAGCATCTTCATCCTGGAGGGTAAGCAACGGAAGGGAAAGGCGGTTAATCGTCTATGCAAATCTCATTTAAGTTTTCACCCTTAGCTGTTGAGCAAGAGCTCTGTTCATAATATCGCTTTCCAAATGGGCAGCGCCACAATATTTCCGACAAAAGAACACTTGGATATCCTCTAATTCTATTGATTTCGCCAATGGAGTGGTGGACAGATGTCATGACCAGACCATAGGACCATAGGAAACGGCCTTGCCCCATTTAGTTCAGTACTGGCAGTGAACATACCCTTCAGCAAGCCCAGGCCAAAAACTGTGATGCACGTCTTCTGAGCTGTGTTCTCAGGCAAGTCATGTGACCTGTGTGAAAGTACGGAGGCCCAAAACACATGTGTTTGGGGCCCTGTGTTCTCACATGTTTTTGAGTGCCATGCTTTCATGTGAGAGCTCAGGGCCCCCAAACAGGATGTCCCAATTTAATTAGGGCAGTTGAGCGGTATCCATGAAAAGCATTGAAGAAGAAGAGAAGAAGAGTTTGGATTTGATATCCCACTTTATCACTACCCGAAGGAGTCTCAAAGTGGCTAACATTCTCCTTTCCCTTCCTCCCCCACAACAAACACTCTGTGAGGTGAGTGGGGCTGAGAGACTTCAAAGAAGTGTGACTAGCCCAAGGTCACCCAGCAGCTGCATGTGGAGGAGCGGAGACGTGAACCCGGTTCCCCAGATTATGAATCTACCGCTCTTAACCACTACACCACACTGGCATTGGGAGACCTTGGGCCAGTCACTATCTGCCAGCCCAACCTACCTCACATGGTTGCTGTGAAAATGAGATAACTCCCCATGTGTGGCATGTTAAGCTTCTCAAAGATGGATTATGAGTAGCAGTTTTAATATTATGCAAAACAACACTGGCCTCCTCAAAACAATCCTAAGAACTGTTATTCTGTAAAGGGTGCTGAGAAACTTGCTTTTAGAGGTTTCTTTCTCTTTCTCAACAACAGCCCCTTTGCAATGTCCTGTACTGACAAAATATGAAGCCGGTTTTCATTTCTGTTGCAGACCTGATCTGACATTTAGACATCCCAACACAACTCTTTGGCACATGTAATTTGCTTAATATCATAGAATAGAATCATAGAATCATAGAATTATAGAGTTGGAAGAGACCACAAGGGCCATCGAGTCCAACCCCCTGCCAAGCAGGAAACACCATCAGAGCACTCCTGACATATGGTTGTCAAGCCTCTGCTTAAAGACCTCCAAAGAAGGAGACTCCACCACACTCCTTGGCAGCAAATTCCACTGTCGAACAGCTCTTACTGTCAGGAAGTTCTTCCTAATGTTTAGGTGGAATCTTCTTTCTTGTAGTTTGGATCCATTGCTCCGTGTCCGCTTCTCTGGAGCAGCAGAAAACAACCTTTCTCCCTTGGATAGCTTGGGTGGTATTCAACTAAGTTTTACTCAGTGTGGACTCGTTGAAATTAATGAGCACAACTAAGTTAGAGCCTGTCATTTCAGTGGGTCTACTCTGAGTAATACCATCCCTTTAGTAGTTCCACATAAGTCTTCTGCATGCTTCTGTGTAAGTCTTCTATGAGTCTAAGTCAGGCTTCCTCAACTTCGGCCCTCCAGATGTTTTGAGACTGCAGTTCCCATCATCCCTGACCACTGGTCCTGCTAGCTAGGGATCATGGGAGTTGTAGGCCAAAAACAACTGGAGGGCCTAGGTTGAGGAAGCCTGGTCTAAGTGCTCAGCACCCCAAAGAAAATAAAATTATAAATTGGATGGATTTTTCCTCCCTTCCAAAAGGTAGCTATTTGATTTATCTTCCACACCAAGGGAAACATGCCCTGGTAAATTTGCAATGAACTGAGTTCCTTTTAAAACCTTTAATAGCACTTGCATAAGCATAGAGCGAAGCTGCATTCCCAGGACGCTTTTCCTGTTCCTTAGTGCTGCACGCAGAAGCAATGCAAATCCAGGTCAGAAGGTTAATTAAAGGAGAACAGGTTCTCAGCAGCCACTGTTTTGTGTTTTAAATTTATTTGGAAACTCTCAAATATGCTAATAGCTTATTATAGGAGACGTTCATCTGGCTTGTCCAGATTTCCCCAAAAATAATGAGCTTCTACTTTACACATGCCAGCCTGGAGTTCCTGATGAAGGAGGCGACAGCAATTTAGAGAGACTTCCTTATGTGTGAGTCGCTCCCTCACACACTCTTGCAGCACCTCCTCACACTGTCTTGGGGAAACTACCGACTAATTCCTGTTGCTTGCCCTTTGCTTAGCACTGCAAGCTCTGGAAAGTGACCTTAATCTGACAGTTAAGGATAAATAACTTGCCTTGTTTATTTTTTTACTGGTGGGAGCTCGGATGGTCATTGCTAAACAATGGTAGTCATGTATAATAATAGTACATGGTACACAATAATGGCAATCATGGTTCCATAATGTCTGGGTTGCAGTCCTACCCAGACGTCTTACACAACACAGGCGGGTGGTGAGAGGCGAAGCGAATAAAGATTGGCTAGGAAGTGCGGTTTTAAATGTTTCCCTTTATTAATTAGGACTCAAAATTCTCAGGCCCTCCCAAGACCCATGCCTCCCTTTGTAGGGGCTATACTGACCCATAATAATCATGCAAATCATCTAGGAATGACTCTTTTATTATAATTTGATCATTTGCTGTGATCTAGTCTGACTCTGTATCAGGAATTCTATCATTTTTGTCTGTAGGTGGATTCTGCTATGTATGTATACTCAAGGTTGCTCTATTTTATTTTTTGGAAATCAATAAAAATATATTTTTTTTAAAGAGAAGAAACCTTCGAAACCCTTCCAGGGCCATAGGGTTGTTATGCTAATGTAATAGTTTTCTCCAATTCCCCCCCCCCCCCGCTCATTCTGAGAATGGAAGTTTAGGCAAGGATATTGAGAATTATGTTATAGGTTCATATCCATCTCAAAGAAATACAGTTGCCAGGAGAAGAAACCGCTGCTTCACCAGATTAATAGCTGTCGTACCCATTATACAGAATGAGGTGCAAGACTGACATGCAGGGATGGGTACATCTGTGACTTATGCTTTTTATCCATTTCTAATTTTTCCAATCTTCAGTTCTGCACGTTTCCACACACGTTTGTGAAATTTTAAAACAATCCTCATGAAAATTCACCAGCAACTTGGTGCAAATTTCTCCTGATACATATCTGAATGCAATTTTGCCTAATAAGTTTCTGTAACATAATGAAATTCTTTTGTATGTTAGTTTCATTAATGTATACATTTTTAGGCATACTTGATCCTAGCACTCGCATTTTTGTACATGTTACTTGGCTGGTGAACTGCATTGCAAAATTCAGGTAATTTGAAGGATGGCTATTTTTGCTTCCTGGAATGTTTCAGAAAACATTAATTAGGTAGGTTTGCCTTTAAACAGAAACCAAATTGATTTTCTCCTCCATCCCTACTGACATGGGAGCATTCTAGACTATACCACCTCAGTAGAGGGGTTATTCTTTTTGAATCCTTGTTCACATTAAAAAAGAAAAAATAACTCACTCTGGGTCTATGGTAAACCTTTCCAAATAAAAATACTGATTGCAATGTGGCAAAGTAGTTACATCAGGGAGAGAAGTTTAGCATGTTTCCCCTCTCCCCCAACCAAAAGCATTCAAAAACATGACACCCACCCACACTCACCTGCAGTCTGAAGTGGTACAGCCCAGAATTCTACCACATCACTCTACCCACCACCTCATTCTGAATATGCAGATTGGCTCTTTAGCATTGATATGCCCTGAGGAGATGCTAAAAGAGGAGTGTGGGAGGAAAGTTCTGAGCTTTAAAAATGGCTTGTCAAGCAGATGAAGGATCTGTTGGGAGGAGACTCAGAAGCCACATCGTTCATGGAGGGCTTGCTATGCAGCCTTTCGGATCATGACCTATGACTGTGCCAGCTCCCTTTCCTCTACCAATCCCCTGCTTTCTTTTTTAAAAAATTAAATTATATGCATGTAGGGGGTTACGAGATGTTGAGAGATGCTTCTTTCCCTCACAGGGAGTCAGAAATTTGTGAACAGGCAACTCAGATATTTTCTTTGAGCAGCATGTGCACCAGCAATTATATGTGCATTAGAAACATATTATTTTGCTGGGGTACACAGATTTAAAGACAATATAATGGGAGTGGATGGGGAAACCCAGCCAGATGGGCGGGGTATTATGATTATAATTACGATGATTATTTAGAGCAAATTTTGTGGCTAGCCCACTGTCCTTCAAGAACACATACATGATAAAAAATAGGTCCTTGGGAAAAGGCTATTTCTTGCCTCCCTGCTGGCACTTGGCTAGGAAGTCCCTGAAAGCCTCCAAAATGGTATGTCTTGTCCTAATTATCCAAAATATGATGGGGAGGGGAAATAATGAATCCTTGCCCAGTAAGAATAGTGCAAACAAGTCCAGTGCCAACAATTCCTGCCCCCCCCCCGCAATCCCATCTGCCCTGAATATTAAACTCTATGCCAGTTTTAAACAAGCAGCTGTGGTAACACATGTTCAAGAGATAAGTGAGACCTGCTTTAGCTTTGAGACTTATCTCCAGCAAACTCCTAACATGTGTTTTCCTCCCAATTACCAACGCATCTTGCAGGAAGAAGGCTCATCAATGCAATTGATCGCTGCTGCCTCAAGTCTGCAGATCACCTCCTGCTAATTTAAATGAGGGTATTTCGAGCACTTTGGAAGATAGTGCTGTGTGGGTGTCCTTCCTATTGCTAAATTGATATCTGCGTCTGGGAAATGCAGGCTTCAAGTAGGCAAAGATATACTGAAATAAATGTACGGAAAACACTTCAACGGTTATGTACAGACGGAGCACTGTTTCAGTTCAACTCATTTCAGTAGCTTTTATCGGTTTTGATGCTTTTATCTTCACATGGCCCTTATAAAATTGGAACGCAATTGACTCTCAGACTCATCACATACACAAGCAACACGCATAACCTGTCTGTTTTCATTGAAAGACTTTGAAACTGTTCCAAAAGGTGTGAGTTAAAAGCCTGTGAGACACAGGACATGATGAAGTGGCTAAATTTAACATGAAATTGCTCATCAACCTGGCTCATCAATTTAAACATGAAGCTCTCCTTAGCAGCCAGATATCCATCTTAGAGCTGTCCAGGCATGCCTGTTCATTCATGCCAAAGACAGGCAGAGGGGCTTCCATATTTCTGCCTGCAAATAAACTGTGCAGCTATATCAGAGCGTATGAGACAATGCCTGAGAGAGAGAAAGGAGAAGCAGAGGGGTTGGGGAAGTTTTTGGAGCAGATTATAAAAAAGTGAAGAGGTTTTTCTTTTAAGGGAGGAAAAATTTGCACATTTAAATGAGCAACAGCCAAGGAAGAATTCATTTAGGCATTTACCACAGACCATGTACTGAGTCCCTGATCCACTACCTTTACATTAGGAAGCAACCAGCTTAAAGTGGAGGCCACTAGATAGGCACATTTTGTAATGCCTCCTTGTCAGTCGACAGTGATTGGACAAATATTGGTTCATCACAAGAGATTTCAAAGTTGCTTCCCATTAAAAACATAGACCTGGAAGTAATGCCAAGGTATGATGTCAATCACAAAAGAGCAGTCTACAAGACCAGTGGTGTAGCATGGCGTGTGTGTGTGCGTGCGCGTGCCACAGGGGTGGTTGCCCTGGGTGCAACATTGTTAGGAGGCACAAAATTTCAACACCCGGTGCTGCCTCAATTCAGCTGCATGCTTCCGTCGCTGGGCTCCGTTGAAAATGGCTTCTCCATGCGAACTAGGAAAAGACCTCTCCAGACAATGGAATGACTCTTCTTTTCTCATCTCTGAGGTTGCAATGTCCTGGGTGACACAGTTAGGCAGTTGAATGAGCATGCATACTCTATCCGTTTCCCTCCTTCCCACCCACCCCTCCGTGTGACCCCGGGCACTGGCAGCCTACACTACACCACTGCACAAGGCTGAAAGGTAAGCATACAAGCGAACCAGCTTGAATCAGCTGAGTTGTGTGTGCGTGTGTGCGTGTGTGTGTGTGTGTGTGTGTGTGCAAGCTGCCTTGAATCACATCAGGCAAAAAGGATGGGTAATAATAATAACAATACAGTGGTACCTTGGGTTACAGACGCTTCAGGTTACAGACTCCGCTAACCCAAAAAGAGTACCTCAGGTTAAGAACTTTGCTTCAGGATGAGAACAGAAATTGTGCTCCGGTGGTGCGGCGGCAGCAGGAGGCCCTATTAGCTAAAGTGGTACCTCAGGTTAAGAACAGTTTCAGGTTAAGAATGGACCTCCAGAACGAATTAAGTTATTAACCCAAGGTACCACTGTAATAATAATAGAGTGTAGGATGACCACATTGACCACATCCATCACTGGCATGTGACACCCCCCCCCGAGGGTTGATCAGAGCCACTGGGCAAAAAAAGCTCAGCCAACTCTGACTAAACTTTGGAAGTGACTAAAGAGACGGTCCTCATGTGGGCTCATCATCTGTGAACTCCGCCAGGATAACACATGAGATAAACAGCAAATACCATACAGGAAGAAAGTGTGAATGCCAACTGTCACAAAGGAGCAAAACAAAACAAAAGAAAAAACCCCAAGAAAATGAAGCAAGCAAATGTTTTTTGTGTTGTGTGCATCAAGACTAAACAGCGAGAGCCACAAGAGAGATGGTGGAGATCAAAGGACAAACACAAAAGACAAGCAGCACGGAGAAGAATTACCAGCATCAGCCAACAATAAAATAAGAGCTTTGGGTAGCAGAGTAACTCAAAGTGGCATTTCATCTAGCTATAGAAAAACCACCACAACCCTCTTCTTTCTATCAGCTTGCACATCTTTTGTTTGCAGCAAGTAACCCAGGCATCGTTTTCTGGGTCAGTAAAGATGGCTTACCTCAAACGCCTAAAAGTGCTCCCTTCTCCCTGGCCATAGGGTTACATTACTGATTGTCACCACACAGGTATAAGGAAAGTTGCAGCACAAATAACACAGTGTGTGTGTGTGTGTGTGTGTGTGGAGTGGAGAGGGAGTCAGAAATCTTTGAACGAGCTTCGGTGATTTGTTTCAGCTGATTTGTTTCTTTGATGTTGCCGAACTGAGAGGATAATCTTGCCTAGAAAGAGGAGGGGACAGTAAATATGTACTACATAAATAATTACTAATTACATGTGGCATCTTGTCTGCTATTTTGTGTTATTTGTTGCTTGTTTTCTGTTTTTTTACCTGTTTCTGTACTGAAATTATGTAGTTACTATTTTTAATAGGGTTGGCCACTTTGTTTGCTTTAAGAACCTATCTCACCTTATCATTCTAAAGTAATCTAACAAATAGACATGCTGTTTTCATGTCTGATGTTGGTGTAGTGATCAGGTGCCAAAAGCTTTCTTAAGGCTGAGGATCAATTCAGATAGACTTTTCTGAGTTCACTATTTCACTGGGCCATTCTTTTCCTCTGAGGTCCTCAGGGTGACACATGTGGTCCATTCCCTCCCCTTTATCCGCACAACAACCCAGTGAGAGGCAGGTTATGAGACAGACAGTAGCAGGATCAATTTCACCCATTAGGTAGTTGTTAAGCAGTCAGCTTCTACAGAAAGGCTAGTTCCCAAGCTTCCCTTGGTCACTGCAGAGAAGTGATAGCCAAACTTGACCCTCCAGCTGTTTTGGGACTACAACTCCCATCATCCCTAGCTAACTGGACCGGTGGTCAAGGATGATGGGAATTGTAGTCCCAAAACAGCTGGAGGGCCAAGTTTGGCCATCACTGATGTAGAGTGACCAAGAATGGACACAGAACGGGACTATACAAATGGAAGGGGAAGAACATTATAGGTGAGATCAGACAAAATGGCACCCATTGAATTTCCTGAAACAAAGTAAACAGGTCGTAATATGGGTCTCAGTTGGGGTGTGTTTGTGTGTGAGTGTGGGAGATGAATGAAGATGGTAGCTTTTAGTTTTCCTTACTTCCATCCCTACCTGCAGTTATTCTTCAAGTGTATCTACAGTGAGGTTATCTCACTCAATTTATCTTTGTTTTCCCACTCCTCCCCTGCTTCTCAATCTGCCACATAGTGTTGTGAAAAATGGCATTCTCCCCCCGCCCTTTCCCCTGCACATTGCGAGCTTCCCCCCTGGACCCAGCACTTTAAAGAGTAAAGTTAATTATGCCCCAGCCAATTTAAGAGAGGTGCTCAATAATTCATTAACCTCTGTGTTGCGTTGGCTTGCCTACATGTAAACAGCACCAATCTGGATTGGTTTTGCCATGCTGAAGAGACACAGCAGCTGCTGCGCAATCACACTCCCATTTCCAAGCTGCCTGATCTAACTCATTTGTAAAAGCAGGACACCGCTAAAAGGTGACATCCCTACCAAGGACTCCAGAGAGATAAACCTACTTCCCGCCTAGCAATGAATAATAGCATAGCACCACAGCCTGCTTCATTCCAGCCCGTATGTGGGGTCTTTTTAACCTTGGCATGCAATCATGAGAGCAAGGTCCCATTTTAATATTGTAACAGTGCTTATTTCTGGCGGAAGAGTTTTATCTACCGCTCTCAGATATGACACTAATGCCCACCGTTAATAAGTAATAATACTGTTAAGCTCGCCCCACTTCTCCAAGAGTTGAAAAGTTCCACTTGACCCCGGAGTGGTTTCCTTTGAAAGGCCACTGAAAGCTTCAGAGCATTTTGTTGTTGTGCTTATTTACAAATATACAGTCTGAGCATAGATGGAGGAACAGCTGAAACCTGCTAACAGACAGCCAATGCCCACTGCTCCCACAGCCAACACCCTAAAATGTCCACAGAGCCCTAATCTAGCTTTCCATGTCTCTTTTTCAGTCCAACTCAAACCGGAATCTAGGTGTCTTTCATAGACACCTAGATTGCAATATCCTCAGCTCAGAGGTCTGCCGTTCTAGCAATGGAACAAATTGCTGAACCATTAGCATTTGCTTCAGCGCAAGACACTCTCATGGCCCTTCGACATTCCTTAACTGGACTCCAACCTTCTCTGGAAAGGACTCACGTGCCTCGCTATATGCTAGTCCTCACAATTACTTGTTAAAACACCCTCTTCTTGCACCCAGTTTCCACAGGAATGGTCTGTTCTGCTTCAGTACCTGTACTTTGCTTTGTCATCAAAACATTCACTAATAAAAAGATTAATCTTCTTGCCAGCTGAGCACAGCAGTGGTGCACATAGCAAAGAGAGAAGCTTGGCTGGCTGGCTGTCACCTGCTCATCAAATGAACCGGGCAAAAGAACCTTCTTTAGGCCAGATGCTGTCAGCCTTACAAGCTCTTACTGTCTCTTTGCTAAATTAGGAAGTTGACTATAAAACCTACAGGGCTGAAGCTCTCCTTGTGAGAAACCACCTGTTAAAAATGACCAAGGGACGTTTAGGGCAAACTCAAGGGAGATTTTCACCAAAGAGCATCACTACAAGTATGTGCCATTACAGATGAAAGGACAATAAGCCTGGAGAAAGCAAAACATTCCATTGTAAGCTAGCAAATCCAAGTGTGTTTGGGAGGGGGTTATATAAAAAAAGAACATGCTTATAATCTGCAATATCCTTGCAGTTTAGTATATCTCTATGAAACATGGACTGCACTTTCCATTCTTAATTAGCAGTTCTTGTGGCAGATGAAGATTGCGGAGCACCAGGAAGCAACTCTGTTGCCACCAAGGAAAGCAGAGCATTAAAAATGAATGCGTGACTCATTCTAGTAAATAGGTCCATTCTATTAAGACAGCTGAGCAACAGTATATTGGGAAACAGCAGAACCTACCAAAAGAATGTGGCCAGCTTCCAGCCATCCTCATGAGAAACACTAGTTTATCATCCTGAACGCACTTGTGGGATAAATCAGTCTCATATAACCAACATGTTAAACATTAATTAATGCATGAAGAGGTTAAGACCACAGAGTAAGCTATCCTGTCAGGCTTAGCTAGGTCACACCCCTCACCTTGGGAGGAAGCATTCCCAAACACTTTGTTCATTTCTTTTCCACCAGGTGAACCGACCCGCAAGCCAACTTTGTGTTTCTATACGTATAATTTAGAAACATTAACCACTTTTTGTAACCTAAGTTAAACTGTCTGTCTTTTATTGCTGCTTTATGGGAAAGCACATGAATCTGATGTCAATAATTATTGTAGTGTGGTAAAAAGGTTGAAGGAAAAGACAAGTTAAAAAAAAAAATATTAAGGAAGAGCAGAAATGCTAGAGGGAAGTGATTTTCATAGGAATGGGGTAGAAAGGAAGAAATGAAGTAAGAAAGAAGAGGAGGGAGAGGTTTAAAAAAGAAACTCAGCATGAGTTATGGAAGAGTTCCCCGGGCTCATCTTGTAATCAGCATAGCTTCCCCATTGCTTTTCTCTGCGGCTTTTCAGAAAAAGGTATAGCTTTTTCTAAGCATTCTCCGTGAAAACATTAGGGAGGCCTTCATAGGTGGTGGAAGCAGTTTATTATGGATGAAATTAGGGGAAGCCTGAACTCAGTGGGCACACTAGGAAACTTACTCAGTAACATATGATGCCCAGGGCCTTGTAAGGGGTCACATGGAATGTCTCAGCAGTCCTCCATTGCTGCTGGAGAGTCTGAGAAACGAGGCTCCCAAGGCATCCTGGCTCAATCCATTAAGTGAGGGGTCCTTTTCAGCTTGAGGATCATGTTTCCTTCTAGGCAGCCTTCCAGGGTCCACATACCAGAGGTGGGAGGAGCCAGAAGCAAAAGTGGGTGGAGCAACACATTTTAATTTGCTCACACCTCCCTTTCTATCCTCCCCATCTAGGCAAGCAAGAAGCATTATCAGAATTCCAAGATACTGTTACACAGGATGGACACCACCCCCAATCTCTGCAGAGTAGTAGCAATATTCCAGGGGGTTCCAGGAGCCTGTGTTCCTTTGATTTATTCACATATTTACACCTGAATTTGGAGGGAGGGAGTCCAGATCTTACGGTGTGGCCATCTCAATTGTGGCTTCTTCCCCACAGCAGTGCAGCGCTGGAATCCAAGGCATCCCTCCTAGCTTCCCTTCAGCCAGCCTGCCAAAATGATTCTGTCTTTGTTCTCCTTTCTCTTCGCAGCACACCTCTCACCTAAGCAACTCCTCTCCATCCATCTCCTATCTCAAGGCTAGGTTTTTAGAGACATATTTTTCCTGTGAGCCAGCCTGCTCCCTCGCCATCACCTTGGCAACCCATCTCTCACAGACCTGAGACCCTTCCTTTGATGTACTAAAGACCAGCTATCAGCAGCTTGATCTGTTAACGTCTTTGCTCTTAACTAGCCAGGCTGGTCTAAATAAGCCAGCACAAGATTTCTTGTCTGGCACAGTTCTGTAGCTTGTATTTTCCATTGATTTTCTGAATAATCAAAATCCCGCCATTTATAAATTTCTTGGATTTAATGGGGGGGGGGGGTTGTCCCTGGAGACAGACAGTCAGGTTGTGCATCCATAGCCATGACCAAAGGAGGAATGACTGCTGGGAGGAGCACAGAGAGAAAAACACCATGGTGCACAACCAGACGCCTTCATCTGCCCCAACTGCAACGAAACATCTCTCCCATATTGGTGGGTACAGCCACAGCAGGCGATGCAACCTTCCAACAGTTTGACTTCATCCACAAAGGCGCACTCCTCCATTGTCTCCCAAGACAGACGGATGCCAACAACAAGGGATGCGCCCCCCAACTTATAACAATACATTCTAGACAGGCAAAAACACTCAAAAGGAGTGCAATGTAGAACTTGAGAGGTGTGGGGCAGGGAAGGGTGTGTGGTCTGAGGAGAGTTCCATGGGCAAGACTGAGAAGCCAGGAGCGTCACATTAGACCTTTGGGTCTGAGGTTCCCCATGCCTGTATTAAGAAGTACAGACAGATCCGTATCACAGGCTCTCTTACAGTAATAGATGCTCAGCAACAGCATTCATGTTTTAAAGACAAGGCCCAAATCAAGTATTAGGAACTGTAAAAAGAAATATGTAAAAAAAGAAAAGAGGATCCTTCTTGATATACATTTCCATTTAACAAAAAACAAAAAACCATGTGCGTGCAGTTTAATTTTGGAAGGTGCTTTTAAACTGTGCTCCTGTGGCCTTAAAAATAAAAGTGTGCTTTGTTTTCTGGTTCTTTTCCAGCTGTTCATGTCCTATTTTCAATTTATTCTCTTTCTCCAGGCACAGAAAAGAATGGGAGTATTTGCACCCAGCAGGTGGGCTCTTTTCATCATTTGGGAAATGGCAAAGTACAGTTGCGGTGTGTTCCCTGCTGTTTATGAGCAAATTGTACGTCAAACCCAGTGAACTGAAGTACAGCCCTTTCCTTACCTGGTGATGAGTATCACTTGGCCTCTTGCACAAAGTTATAAGGTTAAAAAAAGAAAGAAAAAAAGAAACGACAAAAAAAAAAAAAACAAACCCCAGGCTCTCTAGCAGTCTACTCTTGGCTAAGGAATACAGATTTGATCCCAAATGGATAGATGCAAATAAACCACAAAACTCTGCCTTTGGCATTCTGTGGCTGCCTGTTACAGCCCATGAATCACCCTCTTTCCTCCTGTAATGATTTTGTGTCCAAAACAAAATTATCTGTTACTTATCCCTTTAAATAAATCTTTGTCCAGTCGTGCAACAGTTAATATGCTGAGTAGATTACTTGGTTTGGATTACTTTTCTTAAGGCTGATTTCTCAATGAGTTATCTGGACATTGCCACTCTGGAGTACAGATAAGAACATGCTTGAGTGAATAATTCTCCATCCAAAAACATTGACATTTAGTTTGGAGGGATTTTCTTATTGAGTAACATTCGATCATGTGAGTCACTGTGCCACCCACACACATTCTGAAGTGGCACAACCCCAGTGAGAACTAGGCCCGAGTTTCCTAGGGTTCCTGTTGGTCAAGATTTCCACAGTATTTCCCCTTAAAAAAAATAATTCTGTGATAACTGGTCATTAATTTATTGCAAACAGGTTCGATGTCAAAAGTCACATCTCTTCTACATACTGGATAAGGCTATCAATGGCCACCAGTCCTTATGTCTGTATCTTACCCCCCTTGCACCTACCTCCTGCCATCTAAAATTTGAGCCAAAAGTTCTCAGTAGATAACATTCAACTCAGCATTATAAGAAATGACAATGCAATGTAGCATACAGGGGTTTGTGGAAGTTAGAGGCATTCTTCTTTACTGAACCACAGGAAAGCTCCATGTGTGGGTTGAAGTTTCCTTGTGTCCCCAAATTATACTGATACACTGGGATGAGAGTTTGGATTCTGCGGATCTTGGGCTTTCCTGGCTGAGCTCTGGCTGAGACAGTGTCAGTTCCTCGCTGCAGTTCAGCTTAAGTTCATGGAACTTATGAGGTGCAAGCAGGGGTAATCTTTGGTAATATGGCGCCCTGAATGAGCCCCAAATTTGGCGCTCCCAATTGGATCTTCCCAGTTATGGATCTTCTCAATGTTGCACCCTTTTGGCTTGGCATCCTGTGCGGGGGAACCACCCGCACTGCCTTAAATCCAGTGCAATACTGGACAGGGAGAGACTGTCCAAACCCCTTCTAGCTTGGACACATGACCTAACAGCCTGGTGAAAATCAGCCAGCAGAAAGGGTGGTGTAAGTGAAATTCTTCCTGAATGGAATTTGGAACAGGCGTAACTTAAGCTGCCATGACTTACACGGGTGCACATTACACCAGCTTTCTATAGTTAGGATTGCTCTGTGGGTGTGTTTAAAGGGTGTCAAATGTCCACATCGCTGTGACACAGTCAACCGCCAACAGGTCTGCCCTGAAGGAGTGTTGATCTTCAGTATAACCAACCAACTTCTATTGGTTGCCTGAAGCAAATAAGATGCTAAAGGCAGTGGGAATCATAAAGCCATTCATATTAAGGCTGTCTTTCTCACAATGAAACCCATGTGCTTGAGCTTGCATTGTGAGGGCTAAAAATAGCCCAGCAAAAAGGGTTTTCCTTGAGCACTTCCATTATTCACATGATGCGGAATGTTACATAAAACAAACAGGGCACATTTTACCACAAAGTGCTATACGCAAGGATCTGAGGAAGTATAAAACATTTCCACTGGGGACAGAAGCACTGAATATTTTTCAAGGCAAATGCAGCCTGGGGAAAGGAGTATTTTATTTATTTATATATTTTTTTAACTGACAAGATATGAGTGTTTCGTTTCAGTCAAAATTAAGTAATAAAGCTATGCCTTTACAAATAGCCCCAGCCTTTTGTTGTCTCCGTTCCTGATATGACTGGGATGAGGTAATAATGCAGCACGTTATCAGATTGGGTTGGGGAGGCTGGAAGGGAGAAGGCGAGAGAAGGGACAATCATCTGTCTCTGTCTGGCAAGACCCATCCAGAAATCTCAAGGCACTGATTTCATCCCCCCCCCCCAATAGAATCATAGAGTTGGAAGGGACCCTGAGGATCATCTGGTCCAACACCCTGTAACGCAGGAATATGCAGCTGTCTCTTATGGGGACTGAACCTGCAACCTTGGTGTTATCAGCACCACGCTCTAACCAACTGAGCCATCCAGTAGGTAAGTTCACATTTTGGAAGAAGCAACCCAGCACTGAAGCAAAGAAGAAGCAACCAGCTATAGGGAAAAACCCATGCACATTTATGGAATGTATGCTTTGCAAATACACGTCGCTCTCACCTTAGCTACAGCAATATGGCTGAAACACTAGGCTGTGTACACACCAGACCTTTAAAGCACATTCAAAGCACATTTCAAAGCACACACACAAACGCTAAGGCAACATACAAGCTATATGTTTAATGCTCATTTTCTCTCTCAAATAATTCTGGCACTGTAGTTTGTGAAGGGTGGCTGGGAACTGCAATTCTGTGAGGGGTAAACTACATTGCCCAGAATTCTTTGAGGGGAAGAATGTGCATTGAATGTAGCATATGTATGTATGCAGACTCCCTCCCCTCCTCTCTCTCTGTGTACTCCGTCCATATTAGATGGCCGAATGTTTACTACAACATTCCCTAAGCTAGAAGAGGCCATTGTTGCTTCTCCAGCTAGTTCCTGAGATGTGCTATCACAGATGCAAAAGATTTCTGCCCCTCCACATTGTGATACATAAAAGTGTTTCACACATGAGCCCTCTGACTGTACGTATTTCTGAAAGCACCGAAACTCATCTGCACTTCCTGAAATGGCTGCAGGTATCACAGAGTGAGACACAAATCCCCCTTTTCTCTTTCTTTCTTGCCACTTCTGATTTGAATCATGCAGCATAGAGGTGTAAGGAAGAAGCAGCTGCTAATGACAAGGATTTTCTGAGGAGTGGTGACTGCTTGAATTTCTTGGCAGGCCACTTTAGACATTTAGGGTAGGGGAGCTAAATGAGAGTGAACTAGCAAGCTCTTTCCTAACTAACATGTATGCAAATATATTTTCATCTTTCCCCATGTATATGATAATGTGACACTGAGCCACACTACTCTTGTAAAACCTTTGACTTTTCTTTTGCGTTGAGATCAGCAGCAGGGAACCTCAGACCCTCCAAGTGTCCCTATTTTCCAGGGAGGGTCCCGGATTTACAGAAGCCGTCCCGGTTTCTGATTGGATCCTGGAATGCCCTGCTTTTCTTTAGAATGTCCCTGTTCTCACCAGAGAAATGTCGGAGGCTATGGAACCCTTTTCAGCCCTTGAGCAGCATTTATTTTGCCGACCCTGGGGAGGGTCAGATGCAAATAAAGGGGTGTGTCCAGAAGCAAAAGTATGTGGAGCAACAGACGTGACTCAAGTCAGCCCTGCAAGAATCTAGTCTGCACACTCATCCCCTCTCCTTCATTCAGCTAGGCAAGCAAGAGGCATGAGCACAGTGCAATAATGCATTCCAGCCAAGCAAAAGCATTTGAAGGGGGCACAGAATAATCAGTGAGAAGTGTGGTCTGCAGAGATAGCATGATCCAGGGAGAATCTCAAAGGCCGGAGAGAGTGGCTTGGAGGCCCACATTTTAAGCATGCTCCCTGCTTTCCATTATGGTAAGGGTCATGCCCCCAAAGAATCCTAAATCCAGGATCCCATTTCCCCCCTATATTTTGGTTGATGCATGACTAATGATTTTCAGAGTAGCAAGATACACCAGATCATTCCAGTTACACAGCTGTTTCTAGGGGGCAGGATACTTCCTTTAGACTGGTCTGCTGGGGCGGGGGAAAGTGAATCACAGGGTCATCTTTATAATATAGAGGAAGTAACTGGACTTCTGGGTATTGATGTATAGTAGATGTAGATTGAAGCACATTGTTCTGTCTGCAGGTGCATCTGCTCAGGTTATTGTGGCATAAATATGCCAATCAATTAATACCTCCCCCTGAGCTCCAGTTATTTTGATCCCACCAGTATTAATGTAACATCAGTGCTAACAACAGAATCAGCATTGTCAACCCTAATACAGAGGTCAGCTTTTGCTGTTGCCAGCCTTTTGGGAAATATCTTGCTTGACTTGCCACATGAGACAATAGCTTCTTGAATTATTCAGGGACAACAGAATAAAGACTTTGCAGCATGCACAGTGCTTCTTGCTTTGATCACAAAGGCAGATACTTCCCTTATAATGCAAAATTACCCTAGTTTCAAAAATTATTCTTGTTACTTAGCACCAGCCTTGGCAGAGATGTAAAAAAATCCAGAAGTAGGGGGAAGTTCAAGAAAGTTCATTTTTATTGTAAGAGTGTTGGTATACCTGGATTTAATTTTTTTTAAAAGTCTTAATTTTTTTAAAGAAACTGGAGATATGAGGAATTGTATCTAGGACCTTTTGCATGCAAATCATGTGATTTATCTCTAGACCATGGCCTTCCTCAAAGCTAATCTGCTTCCATCAGTTCAGCACAGTATTCTTTCTTCTCTTCCTATGTGTAAGGTTGAGAATGTTCTTCTAAATAAACTTATAAGTAGTAGGGTTGGAGAATATATATGATTTCAAAGTGATTTTTGTCCTCATAAATAAGACAGCATTTCTTCATGCAAATTCCGAATGCAAATTAAATACTCTGGATGTGACAGTGATGCTAGATACAGTTTTAGTTGCTCTAGCTCATGAAGGAAATTGTAGAACTGGAGAAGTTGCAGAAAAGGGCAACAAAAATGATGAAGGGATTGGAACAGATTCTGTACATGGAAGGTTGCAATAGCATTATAAATGTGAAATAGCACAACTGAGTGGAGACAGTGGGTAGAGGGTCCCCCCCCATATTGCATAACACGAGAAAGCCACTTCCGAGCTTGGGAGGAGGTGGGGTTGCAGGTGGGCCCACCCCCTCCCACACCCGCGGGGGCTGGCCTTTAGCCCCCGCGAGAATGAGGGAATCCCCGGGCGTACCTGCGACCCTGCCCGCCAATCGGTGGGCTGGGGAGGCGTGGCCTAGCTCATTTAAGGCCAAGTGCGCCCGGGGACCGCCCTCTTTGCCCCATTCCAGCTGCCCGGTTTGCCCAGTTTGCCCTCGTAGCAAACGTCACAACTTCCTCGGTATTGGTGGTTAGGCATTGGTAGGGGTAATTGTTATGCAAATGAAGGGGGGAAGGAAACGCCATCACCTTCCCCCAATGGAAAAGGGTAGTCCGATAAAGGACTCCGGGGATGTTGCCTTGTCCGAAACCTAGGGAGGTGAGGGCCTCCGGCACACCCCTGAGCGGTAACACTCGTGGGATCCTAGTTGGCGTACTTCAACAGGACACCCACGGCTGGTGGATAACCCTTCCCGGTCTCCATGCCGGGTAGTCGATAGGAGCCAGTGCCTAAGGCCAATACCTTCTAATTCCTGTAATCAATAAAGTTGTGGCCTTTTATGCCCATTAACCTTAAATAATGTGTCGGGTGTTTTCATTTCACATGGGGGGGAGGGGACTTGCCACGCAATGCAAGCCAATCTGATGAAACTAATTGGCAGTACAAGAGAAAGTGCTTCTTTACAAAATGTCCAATTATTTTATGGGTATCACTGTCACAAGATGTGCCAATGATGGCAATGAACATAGATAGCTTTCAAAGGGGATTACAGAAAGTCATGGAAGATCAGAGTATCAAAGGCTACTATTTAATAACTGGGCTTTTTGAAATTTCCTTGCTCAGGGCCTCCTTGTTCACTGAACACTGTGTTGCAGTGAACAACATTGTGGGGGGCGCTGTTGCCTTCAAACTCTACTTGTAAGATTCTTGGAGGTATCTGCTTGGCTACTCCAAGAAGCTGGGCCTTTGATCTGATTCAACAGAGCTCTTCTGTTTTGAGACTAGGCCATGCGTTTGTCTGTGCAGCTAACAGCAACTTTTTAAATACAATGTCCTAAACGTGCAGATAGGGTTGTTTCTGTTCTGTTCACACAACTGGGTTCTGAAAATGCATTTTGACGAGAGATAGGATACTTGTCACAATAGCATTCTTCACAGGTGACCCTGCTTTCTTGTTTGCCAAACGAAACATGACACTAATTGCAGTGAGCATGTCTGAGTTGTTCAGTGTAATTAGCAGCCATGGCAAGGAGAAGAGAAAGCAGGATCATGGCATACCCTCCAACGAAAATAGGGACGTCCCAGTCCATGATTTTATTATTTATACCCCTCATAGCTTACTGGGTTGCCCCAGCCACTCTGGGCAGCTTCCAACATATATAAAAACATAATAAAACAATAAACATTAAAAAACCCTTCCCTATACAGGATTGCCTTCAGACAGCTTGTGGGTCAGCCAACTCCATGCCCTCCAACATTTATCCAATGAAAATAGGGATGTCCTAAGGAAAAAAGGGACATTCTAGGATCAAATCAGAAACCGGGACAGCTTCTCTAAACAGAAACAGCTTCTGGAGAATAGGGACACTTTGGAGGGTCTGTCATAGCACATGGCAGGATAACGTGCCTCCCCATACCATGATCCTGATGAAAATTGCCCTACCCACAGCGGGTATTGTCTCAGAGGAAAGCCTCCATTGGCATAAATGAAGGCTTTGCTTCCAGGGAATAATAGCAGGTGATGGGGCTTAATGAGGTCACAGGATGAGGGAAAGAGTCAGATCCCCTTCCCTTGTCTGGGCCCAGCCTTGTCCATTCTACTACTCCTGAGGTTTCTGTTTACACTGAAATAACGAGACACACGTGTTGCACTCATGGCATCAGTGCCACATGCAGATTGGCTCTGAGTCACAACTTCAAAGTTCAGCAGTAGAAGTGCATTGTAAATAATAGCAGAAGTGAGCTTACCCATGTATGTGCTAATCCATGGTGAAAGAAGCAGCAGGACTGCCATGAAAGATGTAATGGGAAAGCAGCAGAAACACAGAGTACAAGAAGTCGAAACATACCAAGATCTACATATGGTCAGAACTGTTCTGTTTGACATAAGAGTTCTACTACTTACGATGCCATAAATATTGGCAGTTGCCAATTTATGACATCATTTTCATACAACCTCTCTCTCTCTCTCTCTCTCTCTCTCTCTCTTTACCCTCAAACTTGGATTGCAGATCTGATTCATTATCCCGTGTGCTGGTGACTCTTTCATCCGCAAGCCATT